CTCAGAGCAGTTGATTATGCACAGAGACAAAGTGCTCTGGCACTTCCACCCGTGGGGGTTTCAGGTCAACCGAGAAAAGAGCAAACTCGCCCCCGTGCAGAGGATCTCTTCTCTCGGGCTGGAGCTGGACTCGGTCACCATGGCAGCGCGCCTCTACGGAGAGCGCGCTCAGCTGATGCTGTACTGTCTGAGAGAGCTCGACAGTAAAATAGTGGTCCCACTGAAACTATTTCAGAGGCTCCTGGGGCATATGGCATCCGCAGCCGCTTCATGCCGCTCGGATTATTCTATATGAGACCACTTCAGCACTGGCTTCACGATCGAGTCCCCAGACGCGCATGGCACGCGCGCGCACACCGAGTCTCTGTTACTGCGCTGTGTCGCCGCGCCCTCAGCCCTTGGAGCGACCCCTCGTTCCTACAGACCTGGGTGTCTCTAGAACAGGCGTCCAGTCTTGTTGTCGTTTCAGCAGACACTTCCAACACGGGCTGGGGGGCTGTGCGTTGCGGGCATGCGGCTGCGGACCTGTGGAAAGGTACCCAGTTGCATTGGCATATCGCCTGGAGCTGTTGGCAGTGTTCCTCGCTCTCCACCGTTTTTTTCCGGTGCTGGAGCGGCAACACGTGCTGGTCAGGACGGACAGTACGGCGGCGGTGGCGTATATCAGCCGTATAGGGGGTATGCGCTCTCGCCGCATGTCTCAGCTCGCCCGCCGTCTGCTCCTCTGGAGTCATCCGCGGCTGAAATCGCTGCACACCATTCATATTAAGGCAAGCTCAACCGTGCAGCCGATGCGCTCTCACGGCAGCCTTGCGTCCTGGAGAATGGAGACTCCACCCCGAGTCTGTTCAGCTGATATGGGCGCGATTCGGGGAAGCCCAGATCGATCTGTTGCTTCCCCCGAGATCGCTCATTGCTAGTTGTTCTTTCCCTGACCGAGTGCTCTCGGCACGGATGCACTGGCTTACAGCTGGCCTCGGTGCACGCGCAAATACGCGTTTCCCCCAGTGAGCCTGCTCGCGCAGTTACTGTGCAAGGTCAGGAAGAGGACGAGGAACAGGTTGCTGGTTGCGCCCCTCTGGCTCAACCGGACCTGGATGTCAGAGCTCTCCCTCGCGATAGCCCTCCCCTGGCAGTCCCTTCGAGAGAGCACCTACTCTCTCAGGGACAGGGCACCACCTGGCACCCTCGCCGATCTTTGAAGAGATTGTAGACGCGAGGAAGACTTAGGTAACCTCCGATTGCGGTGGCTAATACCGTCACTCGGGCTAGAGCCCCCTCCCCGAGCGCGCCTATGCCCTGACGTGGAGTCTATTCACTGAATGGTGTGTCTCTCGCTGAGAAGACCCCCGTAATTTGCCAGATCAGCGTTGTGCTTTCTTTACGCCGAGAGAAGCTGGAGAGCAGGCTGTCGCCCTCCACACTCAAGGTTACGTGGCTGCCATCTCCGCTCTCATAACGCGGTGGCTGGCAGCACCGTGGGAACGCATAACCTCATCATCCGGTTCCTCAGGGGCGTTAAGCGAATTAATCCACCCCGCCCCCTCTCATGCCCTCTTAGGATCTCGCCCTCGCTACACAAGCCGCGTCAGATCCCTTCGATCCTCGACTCAGTATTTTCTGTCCCTGAAGACAGCTCTGCTGGTCGCGTTGATATCGATTAGAGGGTCGGGGACCCGGAGGCATTTTTCGGTCAGTGACTCGTGCCTGTAATTGGGCTGGCTTCTCTCACGTATGAGACCCCGCCCGCGATATGTGCCCAAGGTTCCTACCACTCCGTTTTAATACGAGGTAGTGAGCCTGCAAGCGCTGCCCTCGGAGGAGGCAGACCCAGCCCTTCTTTATTGTCCAGTTCGCGTTTTGCGTATTATCCGGACCGCACTCAGAGTTTAGATCATCTGAGCAGCTCTTCATCTGTTATAACGGTCGGCAGCAGGGAAGTGCCGTACCGAAATAAGTTCCCACTAGATTGTGGATGCCTTTCTTTCACTATCAGAGCCGAGATGAGCCGCGTCCCCCGAGAGCGCGTGCGCACTCCACTCGGAGTTTCGCATCCTCTCGAGCGCGCGCACGCGGCGCCCCTCTAACAGACTTCTGTAGAGCTGCGGGCTGGGTGACACCCAACACATTTGCAAGGTTTTACAATCTGCGAGTGGAGCCGGTTTCCTCAAGGGTATTAGGTAACCCTTGGTGATTGAGGAAACAATTCGGTAGGGTGTTGAAACACGCTTGCTGCGCCATTTTCCCTAACACGGAGATACGTGCGCCTTTTTATCTGTCAGTAAAGTTCCCCGTCAGGTGAGCCCTGCAGATTCCTCCGTGGCCCCCAGCACTGACTCAGCGGAGGAGTCACTTGCTGGCCCACTACGTTGTAGGTCTGCCCGCTGGTCAGCCCGCGTTTTGGGTAAAGGTGCCTGCTATGCGTGATCCCCACTAGGCGATCCCATATGCTTATTCCGCCACGGTTAAGTCCCCCCCCTGGGCGGACCCGTGTCTTCCCTCCCCGCTAACCACTCTTTTGCTATGCGTACTCCCCCTTTTAGGGCTAGTCCATATGTAAATTCTGCCATCTATCCCCCCTCGGGTAACGGATGGCCTCCGCAGCGTCCTCCCTATCGGGATTGCACGCTTCCCAACGTACTGTCGTATTTCCTAGAATTATCTAGATGCTCACGACTTCCCAAAAAATATATCTAAATCCGTAAAACTTCTGTTGAAGTAGGATAAATTAGGGCCAGGGACACGTTGGAGGACCGCGCCCCCCATGATGCGGGTGCGTCACGCTTGCTTGACTATCTCCTCATCGGGGGTGTTGGTAAGGTGCAGTCATTATGGCGCTTTCAATGGGCTCCCAATGCGTGGATTTTACAAATCAAATCCACTTATAGTGCTGAAGTTCCCCCCGAAGGGGAACGTTCGAGGTTACTAAAGTAACCCTTCGTTCCCCGAGGAGGGGAACGGAAGCACTATACTCCGTCGCCATAATGACTGTCCCTTAGCTGTTGAAAGTCTCTTCAGCTTAAAAAGGATAGCGTCTGCTGGCGCCAGGTGAGCTTATATACTCAGTTGATTGCTTATGCCGCTCACCTGCGCAGGCTTGCGCTGCCAATTCATTCTTAATTGGCCCGTTCAATACTCTTTCAGACGAGTAGCTTCTGAACCGAACCTCCCAATGCGTGGATTTTACAAATCAAATCCACTTATAGTGCTTCCGTTCCCCTCCTCGGGGAACGAAGGGTTACTTTAGTAACCTCGAACGTTTTGGTCATAAAACAGGGTTGTTGCTAGATCAGATATGACTGTGGTCGAAAGTTAACAAGAACTATTTATATTATTAATTAAATTGCTCATTTATTATATTTTAATAACGTCTCTCTAAACCCAACCATCACAGAACTGTAAAAATATAATTTTTTGTTATACAGTGTTACAAAAATGATGCTAAATTGATGGTGAATCCGCAGCTGTATCCTATCTAGACTACACCATACAACAGTAACATTATTAAAATACATAAAAACATGATATCGGAGTATTTGGGATTCAAATCCAAAAGCCATTTGAAGCAGCAACAACGTGCAAAAGCATGGTCCACTAGGCTATATTAATTCTGACCCTGTCAGACAAACGCAGATTCTTCAGGTCTCGAAGCACTTCTGAAATGATCAATGCTTTGAATTGCTTTAGTCACGTGACCAGGTGTTTTGAAACACTTTAGTCATGCGACCTGGTTGTTTCAGATCATACTTTGGTGCAGTGTTTTAAAACACTTGTGCTTTGGGATTTCAACAAAACGTCAGTTTCACGTCAGCCTTCCAAAGCCTTGCCTTGCCATGTTAGACCCTTGCTTTGTTTGTTTATTCACGTTGTCTGCTGCCTGCCTTTTGACCATCCGCCTGTTTAACTCTGGATTTGGATTTGCCTGAATGTACCTGTTTGACCCTGTTGACCGTTGCTTGCCAGACCATTCATGTTAATAAACCTGCATTTGGACCCGCACCTCAGTTGTCAGTGTCTCATTCACATTACAAGTACTGATGTCCTTTATTAAAAATGTTAAGTATAAATGCATTTTTAGAAAACACAATAGCATTATTTTTTACTTCAGAGCCATTCATGTTTCACTGATGTTTAACATCAGCATAAAAGACAGATGCTAAATCAAAACAGCATATTGTACTTAATATGACCTCTACTTAATAATATGTAAATAATATAATATGCAATTAATATGATTAGCCCATTAACTGTCACCCCGCTTTTAAATAATAAAACATTATTCATGACACACATGCATTTGATGTAAAGTTTGTCAAGGTGAGAAAAAAAATACATACATATATACTGTAAACAAAAAATAAAAATAAAAATAAATAAATAAATAAATAAATAAATAAATAAATAAATAAATAAATAAATAAATAAATAAATAAATAAATAAATAAAAATGACCAATTACTGAAAAACAATACATATGTGGTATGGTTACATTCATTAATTTTCTTTTCGGCTTAGTTCCTTTATTAATCTAGGGTCGCCACAGTGGAATGAACCTTGATACATTGGGTTACCTTAACCTTTGGGTTTTACTGTGTAGATGTCTTTAACTCAATATATTCCATGTATATATTCCTGTTCACAGCATGACAAAACATGTCATGTTAAAATGACACAGAGGTGAGTAAATGATGACAGAATTAGCATTTGTACGGTGAACTCTGCCTTTAATGGTGTGTTGTCGCAGATGTGAGGTATGTTTTTTTCTGTAACTTGGGTTTGCAGGATGCATGAGTTCGATCTCATTACTGCTCCACAGTATCTGCCTGTGGCTTTGCCGACGGTTAATGTGACCATGTGCTGGAGGAATATGGAGCAAATTAGACTTGTGGGATTCCATATGTTGGGGGCGCACTTCTGTTTGTACTTTAGCATGTATGTCAGTATCCGTATGTCTGCTTATGCCTGTGTTTGTCTGCGGTGTTTCTGCATAAACATCTCACCTGTCTATATGCAGTTTCTGCGCTAAGAGCTGCCAGTCTTTGCCCTTGGCGTTGGCTGTGTCAAAGGTGGCGCAGATTCTCTGGCGGATGGACTGGGGGATTTTGAAGGCCCTGGACCCCGTTTGGGAGGTGATGGTACAGTCTGATTGTGTGAAGAATGGCACTGTGTCTTTTTCACTCTGGAGGATAGAAGTATTGCATTGAGTTCACAGTGAAGTCAACAGAACATTTCCTGTTCATTATAAAACATGTTGGCAGTTTATCTTAATTACATAATACTTATACTTGTCATATAATTAGTTATTGTTGTGTCACAAGCATCAATACAATTGCTGGATTAACACATATTATATACAGTGTCGGTAAGGTCTATTTTTTTGACTTCGAGGAATAATCAAACATACTAGTTCTTTTCTGATAATTCAATGAGATTAATTCAGGACATTTCTCAGGCTGTATTGATCTTTGAAACATTTTCTTGTAATGATATTAAACTTTAATGTAGTCAAAACCTGAATGGAACTACTTTATCTGAATATAATTGCACAATTTATATACTTGTCAAACAATTAAAATAAGCATTTACCAATTCATAGTGTAATGTTAATTTCAACTAACAATGAGCAGTATAGTTTATTTTACAATGTCTTTGTTACATGTTTTACACTGTAAACCCTAATGTTATCTTTACTTAAACAATCAAGTAAAGTTGACGGAACATTACTTAAAATTAACATTTTGGTCCTGTCACCTATTAATATGAGTTAATTTAACTTATATACAATGAAAATGCATAAACCTAAGACTTCAAGTATAGTAAGCTAAAAATCACAATTAATCCTTTGAAAAAAATTAAGTTGTATTTAGTGTAGTCTTGACTGTAAAATTCTAATTTGTGCAACCTTTTAGCAAGGTCTTTTTCAATCAGAAAACAAGGCTTCATGTATAATTATTCACCATAATGGGAATAAATAGCTACTTATTTTTCTTTTAACTTTTTTTTTCATAGTATATAATTACACACAGACACACACGCTGAACTGAACAATTTAAGTATAATCTACCAAACCGACAAGTTAAATAAACTTAAATATGCAAGTTTTGGGAGACTCCGTCACTCAATTAAATTGAGGCAACGAGTTAACTAAATCTCGTATTTGTATTAAATACAATTAATTTCATTCAGTCAACTTATTAGGGTTTTCAGTGTATGTGCACATTATAGTAATAACAATAAAATATACATAAGTACATTCTATAATAAGTCTAAACAAAACACAAACTTGATAATTGCAGTATTTATACGGTCTCAAATATAACATTTGTAAAAGTATTTGTTAATCTTATGTAAATCTAACATTTTTTACTTTTTACTATGACTATGTTAGTCTTAAAGTTACCTATCAGCTTGTGTATTCCAAAACAAGGACACAATTGACAATTATAATATTGTTAATGATATTACCAAATATGACCTGTGATCTAAAAAAACATTATTATTTTTACATAGACAAAGATTAATTAGTGCTTTAAAAGTATTCTTGATTGCTTGATGGCATAATCTAACCAAATTTGCCATTGACTTGCTTAGGCACTGTCCACACTAAGATGGGTATTTTCAAAACCGCATTTTTTCTGTATATTTTGACAGTTTCTGCATGAAAACTATGTAGACTAAGCAAAAACTGTGAAACTGTAGAAAAAAACTGCGGTTTTAAAAATACCCATGAAAACACAGTATCAGGTGACTAAAACCAAAACATTCTGAACACTGGCCAGTGTGAAGATTTTCCAAAACTCTGCATACAATGTGGTCATGTGAGCACTACAACTGTTTTTGCCTCATAATGTCAGCATGCGATCTGTTTTTGCCTTTCTGATTGGCCAACATAGCTAGGCTCACACCAAACGCGGAAAATGTGATTGATGCAAATTCCACATGTTCGCAGCAAACGCATCACATATCATTATCACTGGCACCACAGGATGGTAATGCCCTCATGTTTGCTTTGACTTGTATGCAAGATACTCGTGCAAATACTTAATTCCTTGTTTGGTGTAAACCCAGCATAAAAGGCTTTTATTACAACCAGTTTGTTCGGCGTGCCCTTAACATGCCTCAAGCTTTTGCATTTTCATGTGGACAGAGTTCAAAAATACCCAACCTCATTATTGAAATGTACCCCTGTATACATTTCTGGACAGCTCAAAATATGTCCCAGGAGGTGTTTTTTTTTTTGCAGGTTTTGTTTTTCGCAAATCCACCAGAGGCCGCTGTGTACACTTTTTTAGATCTCATTTTTTTTCTCGCTAGTGGCATTTGCGCCTGCTGTTCTTATATAAATCCACCAGAAGATGCTGTCAACTGACAGACCCCCTGACCGACTGATCCCCCCCATCCACACCCTTCACTAAACCCAACCAATAGTGTTTTATAAAACACCATTGTTTTTCAATGTTTTCTTTCACTGATTTATCCACCGACTGCCTTCCTTAAACCAGTAGAACCGACAGTGTTTTCAAAAGCAATCCAGAAACAGAAAAGCCCTTATGGCTACCTGATTTTTACCACGCTTTTAGATCTTACCGTGTTCTTACCCTGTTATTTACTTGTTTAATCGATTTTTTTTCGCATTTTGTTTTTGTTTTATCTGCGTTCTGGAACTGTTCTTTGCTGGACTTTAAGCCGGTTATTGCTGTCAACTCCTCTCTCCATGTCAAGTTCGCCAACGTATGTAATGAGCTGGCCAAACTTGTAACAGTGGAAAAGCCATCCACATGGTCATTGCTAGCCGTCAGCTGGTAGCATGAAAAGAAACAGAAGTTGTCGGCAGCATCATACCACGTTATAGCATTCTTTTTAAAAATGAAATTCAGCTCTGGCTACATAATTCGCGCTCTCTAGAAATGTAGACGGGGGTATGTTTTCACAATGAGCCTGTGTTAAAAATACCTATGTACATGTGAATATGGTCTAAGTTGGAGTCAAAAATGACACTGGGGGAGCTCTGAAATGTTTTTGCACTGCAGAAACACGAGCGCTCTTTTTTTTATGTTTTTGTCAAAAGAAGCATTGCGTTTTTAAATCAAAGGCAGTGTAGTAAAGCATTGAGCATGAATTTTACACTCTAGCACTCACAAAAACAAAAACGTGGACATGCGCCCTTATTAAACACTAGATATGTAATGAAAACTTTAATTTAGTTCCTATTTAATACTGTGAAGGTGCTTTGAAAGTATCTCTATTGTAAATCCCCATCAAAAATATTTAGTTAACCTCCTTGTAACATGCTACATATTCATATGTATTTGAGTATTTATCTGATCAATTAAAAACATGATACTTGCACTACACAGTAAGATCCACTATATGCTTGTGCATTTTGAAAATACAAGTTCATATCATGCAAACCTCAGCAATGGTGGTGTAGACCTGGAGGATCTGCTCATGACCTTTGACCTGCCGAACACTGATCTTACAGGAGAGCTGATTGGCTGCTGGACTGTAGCGCTCCAGAGAAAAGGCACACTGCAGAGGAGACTGGCTACTGCACCACACCTGAGAGAAGGAGAATTCCTGCACGGGAGAGAAAAAAGGGAATATTTCAGGATGAATCAATAGGAAGTACATGCTCCTGTACTCCTCTCTTCCTTATTGTTATTCTGCTGTTGGAGCGGCTGAAGCTAATTTACTTAGTGTCATGTCACTGACGGCCCTGCCAGAACATAGCCCGCTATGACAAAACAGGGATTGCTATGGGTATGATTTGGATAAAAAATGTGCCTGCGGTCATAAAGCTTTACGAATAAAGGAACGGCGGATAAACAGCATTGAGAAAAACACACTCTTGAGAATGTGTCATCCAAAAACTAAAACAACGGAACAAAATAATTCAAATACGGGAAAAAAAACAGCTCTCCTCTGTGGCAAATAAAATGAGATTGAATGTGCTGTTTGTCCATGTTACTAATGCTAATGTGTTCTGGATGGTTTCCAGAGTTTTATGGAACTAAGGGAAGAACTTATGGAATGTTTTGAGCATAGATACACTGTATAGATGCCTCATTAGTGCCTATTTCTGCAAGATTTGCAACTGTGATTACACACATGTGTGAAAATCGTTATTTCTTTAGCAGAACAAGACAAAGGTGCTAATACAAAGCACAAAACCGGTAATACTGTGCTAATATATATATATATATATATATATATATATATATATATATAACCAGCACATTCTGACTTATTAAGGGTTATCCTTTTTCTTTGGAAATTTAATTCTCTACAATGTTTACAACCAAGGGATGTACAAATTCATTGATTTTTACTGTGAGTGATGACATGTTGATGGTCAGTATGAGCTAAGAAAGGCTATAATTTATTTGTTTTCTTTTTTGATGTAGTATTTTCCTATTTATATATTTTCTGACAAGCAAAACCATTTGAAAACCATTTCAGAACACATTTCCTTAGCAAGATGTATGATTTAACGTATTACAGAATATGTAAGATTTACCAAAATGATGCACTAATATTACTACACATAAGAGGAAGTGAAATGTGCTGTGAAAATGGCTGCAAAGCAAACATACTTTCCTTAAAAGAGACCTTAGAATTATACACCATATAAGGTTTAAAGGCAAAGTATGCACTTTTAACCACTAAAGGGTGAATATTCACAACAAACAAAAGGTGTAGTCTGTTGATGCTGTGACTAAGTGTGGAATCATGGGAGTTTTCATTGTTATTGTGTTCTCGTAATGACTGCAGAAATCCTGTTCATTGGTGAGCTAAAGTATTTAAAACTTATCATGGTAGTATGTAGCAGAAGCAAAAGAAATAACAGATGAGAGACAATTATGACTCGGCACAAAAGCAGCAGAGAGAACCTCAAAAATGTTTCATTACAAATAAGGCTAAAGAAACATTATTTAAATTAATTCATAGAGTTTATCCCACAAAAAATATTTCTACAAACATTTTAAATTGATATTGAGTTGGAATGCTGTTTTTGTGAAAGCTTTGATAAAACTATTTCACTTTTATTTTGGTCTTGCCAATATACTTACCATTTTTGAATTAATGTTGAAGCTTTTATTACTCACAATATTTCAAAAACAAACATATGATTTTGGGTTATTGTGTTAAAGATCGCTCTTTAAAGATGCCGTTTTTATTTTAAACTTTATATTAAATAGTTAACTAGCTAACTAAACTTTATTTTATTATTATGTAAATTTCACATACATAAATCCAAGTTTGCCAAAAGCAAACCTCTCTTCTTGGTGCTAGTAAAAGAGATTCAAAAGTATATAAAAGTGATCTCTAAGTCTAAAAATAGAAAAGCAATTAAAACAGTTATGTTTTTGTTATATATATATATATATATATATATATATATATATATATATATATATATATATGTGAAATATGTCATTTGATCATTATGTACTCTCATTATGTTTTTTTTATTTATTTTTTTCTTTTCTCATTTAATCCTTAAGGAATGTGAAGTTATTTTATTGTATAATAAAACTGTACATGCTATACAGTTTTATTATACAATAAAATAAACAAAATAAAATATACAAATATATATATATATATATATATATATATATATATATATATATATATATATATATATATATATATACAAATATATATATACAAAAAAAGCAGCAGAGCTTTTATTATTCCACAGTTGATCACTTTTTCTGGTTTGATCACATGGAAAAATAGCAATGTTTTATACTACTTACATTTCAGGGTTCTGCTCTGTGCAGTCTAATGTAACACATTACATTGTTAAAACATTTTTGGTATTCTATGTTTTAAATAAAAAAAATCCACAAATCATGAAAATCATGGCTGTTTGATGTCATTAGCATGGGGACAGAGGGGATCTTTTGTATCAATGGTTAAAATTGCTTATTTCTCTTGATTCGAAGATTCTTCAAAACATTAGGGAAAATCTAAGTAAATTAGGTTTGGGATAATCTAAGTAAAAATAACACTGTTCTTATGATTTTGGAAACTCAAATGAAAGAAAAAACATACTTTTTACAGGCCAAAATACAATTTAGTTTTTATCACACACAATATACAAGTGCTTTGAAGTGTTTAAAGGGTTAAGTTAAGATTTGTCTGTTTACAAGGTGTCAACACTGAACAGAAATGAAGTTTGGAAGAACACAACAAACTACTGAAGACAGCAAAACATTTTGTGTGATGAAATAAAAAGAGATCCACAACTCTATTGTTAAATTTGTAGTGGAAAGTGCAGACACTGCATGAGGATAAATCTTTGCATATTTTGGCTGCTTTGTGTTTGCATTTTAAATGGAGCATATAAAAAAAAAAAAAAACAAGCATACATTGAGTTTAAGGTTTAGGGGTAACAGCAATAGTAATATATCACATTTGTGAAAATGGTCTATTAAACTCATTTTTAACCACACAAGTTTGACTGACACTTTTCCTGTTCAATCCGTACAGGTGGGAAAATAAGCATACTTATCTCCAGGTAAAAGACACCGGATTCCTTCCATGGCCTTTGGCTAAACTAGCTTAAACAGAACCTTATTAATATTCATACAACCAGTCAAATGAACACCGGAATTTGACATCTCATTAATATTCAGTCTCATATGCATATTAACAAAACTCATGCATATTCATACAGAGCAGGTATCCATATTCATGAGGACAGCACCTGGCAGGTGGTGAAAGGTTTGATGCTCCAGAGGAACTGTGGGATGTCCTGGATGGAGACCTGCAGGCTAAAAGAGTTGGCTCTGAAGAGCAGGGTCTTGGGTTCCTCCAGGAGACGCCCTCCTCGACCCCGTTCCACCGACACCACCTCCTGTGAAGAAGAAAGTAAATACAGATATAAGCGCTCATGCAGAAACACGTACTGACACGTACAATAGTCTACACCAGGAAAAGAACTCGAATGATTGTTTCTGTTTAAATTATTCAGCTGAAAAAAAACAAAAACAAAACAAAAACATCCTTCCTATGCTACAGTTATTTCCTGGCTCTGGTGGAACCTTTAATCTTTATAACCTGAGAAGATGAAGCGGAAAGTGATTAAAAATCGTGAGGCTGATATTTCCCAGCCCTAGACCAACAAATAGGTTGAAGAAGTGCTTGTATTGCATTTTATATCTACAAGAATGGAATTATAATAACACCCTGGGCCTAAGAAACAAATAAGTGGAATAAAAAAAACTAAATCTGGCAACAACAACTAATAAATCTAAAGCTACAATGTTTTCAATTACCATCTCTGTCAAACACAATGAATGTCGAGTATGTTTCGCGTGACACGCACACAAAATGGCATGCAGAACAGGAGCGAGAGACACTGGATGGAGAGAATCAGCATTGATGAAAGGCACAGGTGATTTTGTGCTCTTTGCATCTGTTCTGTGGGAATTGTTGACAATGGCACAGTAGCATTAAAAGCATTAGGTCTCTCTCTCTGCCATTCTCTCTCTCTCTGTCACAAAAGACAGGAAAATAGTCTCTCGCTGCGACGGCTGCTGATCGATCCTGGCCTGAATTTGTTCAGTTTCCAGGGAGGAATTCATTTAGTGTTTGTGAAATGCAAACAACTCTGACAACAAAAGAGTACAAAAGAGGGGGAAAAAAATGGGTGAACGGCTGGATAAACAAAGTGGAAGAGTGCTTTGGTGTGTGGAGAAACACAATCTTTGACCATTCACTCTAGAGTGTTGTTGTGTTTGGATTGAAGACTTCGCAGAGCTGAGATCTGTCACACACACTTGAAGAGCTATCTATGTCAGGACTTTTATTAGACATAATGATTGTAAACTATACAAACTGTATTCTATCCCCTTACCCTAATCCGACTCCTAAAGGAAAACATTCATTTAAATATAAATACACTAGTTCAGTGTAATATAAACGAAGAATACTCCATTCTTTCTGATTTACATGGTAAATAAAAAACAATCTGTCAAAATTGATTATTATTTTTACACTGTAATAAACTATATTAAAAAGCCTCTATTATGTATTTAAAAAGTCATATTTTGGTCTTGGGGGTCTCCAACAACTGGCTGATATGCATGCAAGGTCAAAAAACACTTTTGTTGTCTTATAATATGCATTTATTTTTACCTAATTATCCAAACAACTCCCAAATGATTAGTTCAGAGTTCTTTTTTTTTTGTTTGTTCCCAACCCCTTCTTTAGCGTGATGCTAATTTTAGTTGATTGGTCCGATGACTCTGTGTCTGTTGCGATATATTGACTTTGTTCAGCGCAAAACAGAGAGAAACGCCCACCACAGCTTGTTAACATTGTTGAATTAGGGCCTACTCACACTATGCTATCCGTACCGTGCCCAGGCCTGTTTTCCGGATCGTTTAAGAAGTGTGAGTGCGCTGAATCGGGCTCAGGTACACTTGGCCGGCCCTGGCCTGGTTGGAAGAGGTGGGCCTGAGCGCGGTTCACTTGGGCTTTGGCGCGGTACACTTGTAGTGTGAGTGCAAAACGCGCCAAAGCCCGAAACTGAAAGCGAGACGTGACTTTTAAGGGACTGTATCATATGGATTTATTAATCATTCTTACTGTTCAGTGAACGCAAACTGCCATAGATTATTAAATACACAAACTCCTCACTGCACGACAGCTGCGCACCTTCAGCAGACCTCCTCATTCCTGCAGGATGAGGGCTTTATTATTGTTTATGAGCACCAAAAGTGGCAGATCTGTTCGGCGAAGTATCTGACTGCGTGTCACCGCATCCCTAAGGACTGTTCTGTTTGGCGAAATATTTGACTGCATGTCACTGCATATCAAATGACTGAAACGATATAACTAGAGAAATCTCCACTGTGCGGCTGAGTGAGAGCGCTTCTCACTGAACAGCGGAGCAGCGATGACGTAAGAGTGCCGAGGCCCGATTGTGGTGTGAGCGCGGGCCGTCGGGGGAGAAGGGAGGGGGGACAAGCGTGCTTTGGCCCGGTTTGACGCAACTGTAGCTAGTGTGAGTACGGCCTTAGTCAGAGTGCAGAGTATATGTGTGAGTGTAACAGAGGCCAGCTACTGAAGTACTGTGCAGGTAAACCTCACCCCTGAACCCAAAGAGGTGCTCTAGCGACAGCTGTAATGGGCCATGGTCTTTAGCCTTCTTGTTAGAGCAACCGACTCCCATATGAAGAGTCGCCTGTTTAATCCCAGCTCGGAAGTGGGTTGGGTGGTGTAGGACCAGCGGGATTACATTGGTGCTGTGATCCAGATGTGAGTGAGGTTTAGGGGGGTGAGTGTAATAGAGGCCAGCTAGTGAAGTACTGTGCAGGTAAACCTCACTCCTCTGAACCCAAAAAGGTGCTCTGGTGATAGACGCCTTGTAGGAGCAACCGACTTCCATGTGGAGAGTCGCCAGTTCAAACCCAGTTCAGAGCAGGTTGGGTGTTGTAGGATCGGCGGGGTCACATGAGCCCAATGCAAGAGTGCATTAAAGCAATGCAGTATAACACCAGCATATTGCTCTATTCTTAACCATAATTAAAAACAACACAAATTCAGTATTAATCCACACAGTCGCAAAAGCTGAACTATTTTGAAACTTGACTGGCGCACATGTGTAGGAACACTTGACGGTGACCATAGCAATGACAAATGGCAGAGGATCGTGAGTTTACAAACGCATTTAAATCAGTAAAGAAAGCAGCACGCGCTACGCTTTCAATGTGGCTTTAGATATTTAAATATAAAGAGTTAACTGGATACAGTACAAGCCCTGTGGAGTGTTTACAAGTAACAAAACACAATTAAATACATATTTTTCAAGCTAGAGAAAACAAGGAGGCAACTATTTTAATCGCACTAACACTTGTTTACACTTGTGTTCCATAAACTGTCGAAGTTTCTGTCAGACTCTGACAAAGTCCCATACATCAACAGTCTTTCCTGATCCTTCCTTTAACAAATGGCTGATGAATCCCCCATTGCAGGGTATATTATTGCATTAATCACCAGAATATTCACAAATCTTCAGCCATGATCAGTCCCACTGAGGAGTTTGAAAGGAAAGGTGCGTTCACGTTTTACTGGATCTGGTAAACATGTCGATGTCGATAAGAACAGGCAAAACATCTGGACGAGCGACGAATCATTTAAACGACTCAAATTTTTTATTAAAAAAATCTATATTTTTAAACAAGGTGCACTTTCAGATTTAAACCTCAGCTGGATGTTTTCACTTCATTTAGAGATGTGTTGCACACTGCATGGAAGGCTTTATTAAAATGATATGATCAAAAAGTTATTGATTATGTACTTAATGTCACCTTAACATATTTTAGGTGACTTAAAAGCGTTCTACTTTAATTTTAAATTATACACATTTTAACTAATTTGATTTACATTGAAATACATGTAAATTTAATTTGATTACACTTAAAAACTAAGATTAATTAAAAATAAATTAAAAAGATTAAGGCAGAACTATTTTTTTTTACATTGTGCTATACTTGGGGAGACATTTGGCCCTCATATTATGGGTAACACCAGGTACACATATTCGCATAAACACAAGATACATACACATTTTTCTCTCATGATAGAAAAATGTTTGACTTTTGTTCTTTTTACCTTGAGCTGCTTGTTTTAAACTTCTCATTTTTTAGACATTATAAAGGTCATTCTACTAAAATGTTCTCATCGTATACATACTGTACACTGCTATTGAAAAGTTTAGTCTTGGTATTTTTGTTGAATAAAAAAAATGAAATTACATTCAAGGATGCAGTCATTAATTAAAACTGACATTAAAGACCTTCACAATGTCACACAAGCTTTCTGTTTTAAAATAAAAGCTGTTAGACTGTCAATCCTGCTGCAATTATTCTGAAAACTACATTTGTAGGAAGAAACACTTTGTAGTTCCACAGCTTTCAACACAAGCCTCAAACTAAACCTCAAAACTTTCAACCCAGATACCTTTCTGAAAGCAAAACAGCATCCCAACATGTATTGAAGTTTCTTAATTCAGCTTGAGTGCATACACACTCAAGATAGTACTTTTTTGTGTATAAGAGAGAAAAACAGAGTCTCTAATCCAGTTTGTATATGTCTGGAGGCTTCTAATACAACACCAAGACACCTCCACGTCTCCGTAACCGAGAAAATCCATGTGAAACATTAAATATAAAAAACATATTATGCTTTCTTCATAAACTGAAGAGATTGTAAGATCTATATGTGTGTGTACAGAACAAAGACTTTATGACTATGGCTAAAAGACTCCTGAATATATGACCGCTCAGCCCGACGTTACGCTTAACAGAATGTAAATCACTTTTAATTAGCACATAGAAAAGATTCAGTCACGTAGCACGAAGCATATGAGTGCCTCACCCTGTCTTTGTAATTTAAGAAGCCATTCTATCAGTTAGCTGAAGATGTGTGTGTGTGTATGTGAGTAAGAGAGAGATTGGTCCAGCTGACTTTCATTGGAGCGTAAAACCAGAGTACCCACAGGGCATGACGGCCAGCCATAACACGCTGCCCTATGAATGCAAATTTCCCATAATCCACGGATTTCCATCTAATGCCATATGCAGTGTGAAAGGGATGTGTTTCATGACATTTAAGAAGCCTACATCTGTGAAGGAAGAATTCGCTCCCTGCAGAAAGACCAGTTTGGGCCAGCACGAATTTCCATTGAACTGGTGGGTGCCCAACTAGTGCAACAAAACATATCATATATTACAGAAAAACAAGCTAGGGTATGTGTAGAGTGTGCATGATGGGAATTTCCAACCAAAATGAACATGCTGCTAAATTTTATGTTATTCAACACTGAACGAGAGTACTATTGGATATTGGAGATTCAAAATTCTGGTGATTTTCTGCACTGGTAGCCTATGTTTGACAGGTATTCATTCATTCATTCACTTTCTTTTTGGCTTAGTCCTTTCATTAATCTGGGGATGCCACAGCGGAATAACCGCCAGCTTATCCAGTATGTGTTTTACTCAGTGAATGCCCTTCCAGCAGTAACCCAACACTGGAAGACACCACAATCAAACACTATGGTCAATTTAACTTATCCAATTCACCTATACCACATGTCTTTGGACTGTGGGGGAAACGGCAGCAGCCAGAGGAAACCACACACGATCACAGGGAGAACATGCAAACTCCACACAGAAATGCCAATTGACCCAGCTGGGGCTCAATGACCAGTGACCTTCTTGCTGTGAGGCAATCGTGCTACCCACTGCGCCACCGTGATGCCCTGTTTGACAGTTAAGCTCCTTAAAATGTTTAATTGGATTTTTATCTACCCAGAAGGTACAGGACGTCAACATGACGTCTGATTGATGTCATACCTTATCGTCATCGTATTGCATTTTGTTTGAAAATGAAAATCTTGTTGATGAACCCAGCATCAGGCCGATGTTAATGTCCAACCTAAAATCAACCAAATATCAACGTCTGATGATGTAACAGCTTGATATTGTGTGGGTGTTACCACTATGATTTCAACCAAACGTTGGATTTTGGTTGCCATACCTGACGAATAAATGTCAGTGTTTGATGTCAATGTGACGTTGGTTTCAGATGTTAAATTGACATTGGATTTTATCCACTTTTCAACACAACCTTAAATCAACCAAATATCAATGTTATTTGGCATCATTATTAGGTGTCAAAATAATATTGCCCTTAGACAATGACTTGACATTGAATCTGCCATTTTTGTCAACATTGAGTTATTGACATATTCTTATTAAATTAAACTTATTTACATTATAGGATGTTTTTTATAAGTTGTTTACTGACTTTTTATTTAAAAAACAAATGTTACACACATACTGTTTGCTATATGGAATGCAAAAACGTTCAAGTTCAATATCTTAAAATCGTCACTTCCTGATAAAATGCTACCAAATATCAAAAATAAAAATGTAAATTGCCACAATAGGAAAAGCCAATGTGGGCTGTTTATTGTACTTGAGACAACAAACACAATGAATGAGTGGTGGCTTTTGGAGGCTCGTGAACTCTCTTCGGAAGCATAGCTAATCAAGACAGTTCTGGGAAACAAAGACCACTTTCATGATGGTCTTTGACTAAGAGATTGTAGAACGACCAAAACAACATTTAAATTATTTTACAATGTGTTCTGTCACATGGTTTGTCCATTAATACCTTACCGCCTATTTTTGTTATCACATGATCTGTTCAAACAAAATCACATGACTTTTTGATGCGTATGCTGGAATTTATTTGGTAAATGTGTTTAATAATTTGTAGATGTGTGTAAACGTTACATTCTGTGGTGCATCTAGTTATTGTCCAGTAGGCACGCAACACCATAAGACGTTAATATTAGATTAGCTCGTGATGTCAGGTGACCAAAATTCAATGTCTAGTCAGTGTCTAAGGACAAAGTTATTTTGATTTCCAATAATGACTTAAAATGATGTCGATATTTGGTTGTGTTGGACAGTGACCAAAATCTAATGTCGAGCTAACATCTTAAAATAACGTCATATTGACATTTAATACATTTATTTATCAGGTAAGGCAACCAAAATCCATAGTGGTAATGTCCACACAACATCAAACTGTAACCTCATTAGACATTGATATTTGGTTGGACATTGACGTCGGCCTTTCCAAGAGTTCCCACTTAGATATGGTTGGCATTGCAAGTTTGGCATGCTGTCCCGGGAGAGAAACCTGAGTTCGGAGATATTTGAGCCCAGGGCTCCCGCCCGTTCTAGAAGCATATCAGGAGATCCGAGATCAGGTAGGTCTCGATTGCTCCCCCTTTAGAAGGGGAGAAAAAGGAGGAGATGGGGTGGAAGGGGGGATTCTTCCAAAACGAAGATAGAGCAATAAGGAGAAAGTGATCGATTTATATTAAGCTAGGATCATTCTGATTGGATTATTACTGATTACGGATGAGTGGCCAGCGGTGCACAATCATCTCACGTGCTCCTCTCGAAATTAGTTTATGAAACTTCACATGTTGAGTTCTGATGTCAACCTAATTTTCATTTCCGAACAAACTGCAACGTCCCCATGATGTTAGGGTACAAGATCAATCTGACGTCATGTTGATGTCTTGTGCCTGATGGATGTTTAAGGCCATTTCTGTTATCATACAGTAAACATCCGTCATCTTCTCATCAGTGACATGCATCTAAACAGTCTCTGGGTCATTGCGTGTGATGATTTTGGACATCTTCTTGGATACTTTCAATGCTTTCAAACAGTTTGCTGCAATTATAAATAGCCCATGTCCTGAGGTAATTCATTATGATGCAATTTACTTTCTATGTGCGATTTGATTGGACAGGAATCACAGGACTAATTTTTCTAATCCCCATAGACAAGAAAAAGTAGTGACTGTGAGTTAGTGGAGTAAAAGTACTGATACTGCACTAAAAATGTACTCAATGGAAGAGTAAAACTACACATATTAATAACTACTTGGTAAATAACAATTATGAGAAAAATGACTCAATTACAGTAATTTGAGTATTTGTGATTAGTTACTTTACACCACTGGATGCTGGTAGTACGCCAATCTGAATTTACCAAGTAGGACATCTATGTTGATCCTGGAACTACTTTCAGATCAGCCAATCATATATAATGGATATGTTTACCGTTTTATTATGTTTAGGTTTATGATTAGGTTTATGCACTTCTACATGATTGTTACCCAACTATTATTCCCCTCTGAATTTGGGAATAATTTACAGTTACGGTTGGGTTTAGGGGTATGGATTACATCGTCAAACAAAAATTATGTTCCAGTAATCCAGGCTCGCATCGTACTTTTCAAAATCATGACGTGCGCTGGTAGAAATGATTTGCTTGGACCAATCAGTGATCAGCAGTGTGTATTCGTTTTGGTAATGATACTTAGTATCTCTAAAAAGGTACGGAATTAAGTGGGAAAAAGTCCTCAAAAGTGATCTAAAATTAACTGTGTGAAACCATTTATACCTGTTTGTTCAAACTAATACATTTAAAATAAGCTTAATTAACACAATTACTGAGTAATTTTGGGACAAATTAGTAGTTTTATGTTTAATCCACATCAATTTGTGGAGTCAATTAAGTTAACTTAAATGATCCAGAATTTTTACAGTGTTGTAGAAAGCATAACAAGCATAATATCACATTTTCCAACAATTATACAAATACAGAATTTAAAATTTTGTATTTTAGCAATGAAAATTTAAGCCTCAAACAAACTAAAGTAAATATGACATTCTCTATAAAGAACATTTACTATGAATCTATATCTTTACAATAATTAAAGCAAAAGTAGTGTTTTGCTTTCTTGACAATTTCAGACAGATGAAAATAATTTCATTATGATCAAAAATATAAACACCAACAAACATAAAAGTCTTGACACACCTGAAAGGCATGGGGCGTATCATCGACGCAGTACACTCGAATGCTGTAGTTGAGGAAGTTTGGCTCCATGTTCCCGAAGGCAGCCAGCCGGAGTCTCTTTCCTGCAGCCTGACTGAGAGCCTCTCCTACTAAAGCGTAACAGCCTGGTCTCTCCACCAACAGGTGGCAGCACTGAGTGTCCAGCAGGCAGTAACAGGAGGTGCTCTCTTCTTCCAAAATCATGACCTCCTGACACAAACACAAAATCCAGACACTATGATGCTTGTGTCATGTTTAAAACGGTTACAGTGTGGTTACATTACGGTTTATTACTGTTTACAGGTGGAGTAACTGATGATTCATTTTAAGATGGCAAAAAAGTCTATTCAGTGCATTGTTCTACAGTGCTCAGCATATACAAGTACGTACACCCCTCACAAATCTATCTTTTAAATTCATATTTTTAATAGAAAGCTAAACATTATTATATTTGTGCATATACATTAGATTAGTCAGTACTAAAGCCAAATCTGGAGCTTTTCTAACAAAATAACTTATGATAACGGTCCAAAAACTAGTACATCCAAATTCATATGTTGTAGAAAAATATGAAATATAAATTTAAAAAAGAGGAAAAATAAAGAGAAGCAAAAATTTGAAAAATTTAATAGAAATTGTGTAGGTTGTATTTTTTTTTTCAATTTTTTGCTTGAATTTAATTGTATTATTTTTTTTTTAATTTCTCAATATGTTTGGTGACTAAAATATAATTTTAATAAATATATCTGCTTAATAAATCTGTTTTGTTTGAATGCACCAAAATGCATTGCCTATATTCACTGAGAAATGGATACAAATATTAATTTTCAAAATGCAGTCTACTCAATTATGCTGAGCACTGTGTGTCAATGTAAAGTATTTATGTTTATAAATACATAAAACTACAACTAATAATAATGATAACTACATTTTAAAAGTCTATTGACTCCTCTTTAGGTATATTTTTGACATAAAATTGTATATTTTTTTATTAGATATTTAAATAAACGTATTACATATTTAAATTATGCTTTTAATCATTCATTCATTCATCCATTCATTCAATTTCTTTTCGGCTTAGTCCCTTTATTAATCAGGGGTCGCCACAGTGGAATGAACCGCCAACTTATCCAGCATATGTTTTATGCAGAGGATGCCCTTCCAGCCACAACCCAACACTGGGAAACACCCATACACTCCTACATTCACACACATATATTATAGTCAATTTAGCCAAAGACTATAGAACACAAGACATGTCACTAGTATGTCTTTGAATGGGAAAAAGTTAACAATATGGTGAATACAGCCCCGCCTTCTAGTAGAGGAGCCAGTCACCTATTGCTCTATGGCGAATAAAGTCCGCTTTGTAGTACAGAAGCCAATCATCAATCGCTAGACTGACAATAGTCTGCAGGAGCGACTCGGACTAGATGAGAGTTTCTGCAGATTTAGTGTGATTTGAACGTTTAGAAATGAAACTGAAGACACAGTTGTTGTTTAATTTTATTGGTGATCCCTAAAATGAAATTCAATGGTAAGCCTGGCAAGCTGTTTTGGAGAGTTAAATGTTTACCCATTCAGACAGAATGCCCCAGCATACTGTCCGAGAGGTGTTTCAAAGATGGCCACTGAATGAAATGACTTGCCTTAAATGGACTTTAATGTCGTTTACTCAATTCATTTATACCACATGTCTTCAGACTTGTGGAGGAAATTGGAGCACCCAGAGGAAACCCACACAAACACGGGGAGAACATATAAACTCTACACAAAAATACCAACTCAAACCAGCAACCTTCTTGTTGTGAGGCGATCGTGCTACCCACTGCAACACCGGGACGCTATTATGCTTTTATTAAAAAATATTTTACAGGATTTTTATTTTATTCATATTTTTATTAGGAATTTTTTTATTAAAATACAATTAAGTTAATACATTATTAACTTTATTGCAGAATAATTTGCATTATAAAATCAAATATAAAATTCCCATATGCTTTTAGGTTATTAAATTAAAAGCTAATACATTTTTAATATAATCATTTACAGAAAAAAAAATCTTTAGGCCTTTTGTTTATCAAATTGCACAATAATTAAATACATTTTTAAACTTAAATGTAATATACATACAGTTGAAGTCAGAATTATTAGTCAGCTGAATAATTAGCCCCCTGTTTATTTTTCCCCAATTTCTGTTAAAAAATACTTAGACACATTTCTAAACATAATAGTTTTAATAACTCATTTCTAATAACTGATTTTTTTTTATCTTTGCCATGATGACAGTAAATAATATTTGACAAGATATTTTTCAAGACACTTCTATACAGCCTAAAGTGACATTTAAAGGCTTAACTAGGTTAATTAGGTTAACTAGGCAGGTTAGGGTAATTAGGCAAGTTATTGTATAACAGTGGTTTGTTGTTGACTTCGGATTTTTTTATTTAGCTTAAAGCTAATAGCTAACAACTTTGACCTAAAAATTAAAAACTGCTTTCATTCTAGCTGAAATAAAACAAATAAGACTTTCTCCAGAAGAAATAATTTAAAGGGGGGCTAATAATTCTGACTTTAACTGTACATTTATAAGATGCAATTTAAAATTGGAAACAAAATTTCCTTAGTCTATTAGTTTATTAAATTGCAATGAATGATATTAAATAGTAATACAATTACGTTAAAATAAGAAATCCAATAATATAAAATCAGAAAAAAAAACGAAATAGTCTAAAATCAAATCGATAACATCATTTACTGTACAGGAAAAAAATAAAATGCAAAATGCAATTGTCTAATTTCCATCAGCTTTTTTGTTGTCATTGTTAACCCCCCAAAAAACCCTACCAGATGGTGTTACCCTGTTGTGTCATTTAATTCTTAATTAAATCTTTTTTTAAATGAACCTTTGAACATTGCAATTAGTGCTAGAATTATTGTTTTTGAACCACTTCTCATCCCATCCTTAAACACAAACATAATCAAATTCATTAGTGGCACCACAGCTTTCCATTACCTTCACAACACCACATGCAAATTCATACACCAATTCATCCACCATTTCAAGCAAAGTTTATATTATAATCATGGTAAAAAAAATAGTACAGCTTCCACGCCAGTCATCGTTTTTTCTTTTCTAGCACACGATTCAATTGCTTTTAATGCAAAGTAACCAGGCCTCATTGTCATAAGCACTGACAGCTACTTACTTTCCACAACCCTGAGGCTTTTTCGCCAGCCGCTCTACTTTATAAAAACCTCGCTCAGCATAAAAGTATACACGCGTGCACATTAGGAAAAAAGGTGAAGATCTTTAGCTGAAATTATGCTTCCCTTTTCTTTATAGCGCTGCAGATGGAAGCACAGCTTGATTATTATTATATGCATCTGGTATTTGAATGTCAGGAACAGTGGGTGTGAAGCGGCCAGCAGGATCTCCAGTCCAGGTTCTCCATTTCAGCGGCTGAATACAGCAAAAAAACGAAGCATAACTTTGCCCCCCGGAGCGACCTGAGCCATTTGAAAGCTTGATATTTCCCACCTAAACACGGCGGCGCACAGTTAGCATTGTCTATTACCTACAAATCAGTAGGTGTGCATTAAAGTCTCACACTGTAAAACACACAAAAAATCAGGTGTTATTCTCAATTCAGCAGGGACTTTTACTCTCACTCTCCTAGAAACAAAACTCATTATTTCAAACAACAGTCAAAGGTCTTCATGTCTTTAACACGGCGTCAAAATGACTCTCTGGCACAGAAAGAAACTGAGCTGATTGGCATTGTGAAGCATCTTTGAATTAGAGCGTCTGCGTTTGATTAGGGTTTGCTGAAATGTCAAGGCGCAAAAACGCACCCTACAATATAAACAGCTCGGTTTCCTTAGGGTCAGTTTTGCTCCAGATCAACTTTGATGAAGTTCTTTCAACATGTAAGAGCGGTGCGAATCCCGCTTTTATGAAGAACTGCAAAATATCAAAGGGAAAGGACAGAGTTAATAAGAGAGTGGCTTCTTTAAAGTGCGATGCAGGGATGTCGATCTGCTGCGAAGAGGGCATGTCTATTGATTCTGTCAGTTGGTAACCTTCAGCATTCTTGCTTTACAATGACTTTTCAGTTCTTTATTATTGAAGTTTGCTTTTAAAGTATGAGACTTAAGAGTTTGAAGAATTCACATTCATTAAAACGAAGGGATTGCAATGCTTTTCAGTTGAGATTAGTTGGTGATACTGCTTTATCGGTTTCATTTTGATGAATTCATTTGGATTCTTAATTTCCAAGAACCATTTTTTTGATAATGTTATTTTCAGCTGATGTGTAAATTGGGTAGTTTTTATTAAGAATGTGAATTAATTTTAGTTTTAATTTGATTAAGGCATTTTTTTGTATTTTTGTTCTGTTTTGTTTTGTTTAATAGGAGTTTTACTGTTTTTTTGAATAAAAGTGTTTATTAATTACAAGTGAACATTCATGGAAATATACATATATAAATCACATGAAAAAAATGAAAAAAATAAAATCTGAAACAATTTTCTCATGATTTTTAGTCTTTTAAATTTCAAGAAATAAAATGAAATATAATAATGTTTTTAAAAGGAAACATTTGAGTGCTTTCAGCTGATGTGAGACATGGGAAGTTTTTGTTTAGAGTGTAAATTAATTTAAGTTTACATTTTTAATTTGATTTATTTTTTTAGTTATTTATTTTTTTTTACCGTGTTTTGGTTTTTTGTTTATTAGACTGTATATTAATTACAAATTAACATAAATGGTAATATACATATTTAAATCACAAGACAAAATATTTTAAAATAAAATCTAAAAACACAATTTTCTTTAGATTTTTAGTTTATTAAATTACATTAAATAAAATAAAATATAATAATGTTTTAACAAAGAAACGTTAGTTTTTTGTTTATTAAATTGTATATTAATTACAAATTATCATAAGACATTTGAGTGAGAATTAATTTTAGTTTTAATTTTTCATTTAATTTAGACAATTTTTTTGTATTTTTTGTTGTTAATTGTATATTAATTAACATAAATGGGAATATACATATATAAATGACATGAAAAAAATCCTGTAAAATAAAATCTGAAACTCAGTTTCTGACTTCTATTAAATTACAAAAAATAAAATTAAATATAATAACATTATAACAAGAAAACGTTTGAGTGCTGATGTGTGAACTAGATTTTTGTTGGAAGTGTGAATTAATTTTAGTTTTAATTTTTTTAATTGATTTAACCACATTTTGTGTGTGTGTTTTTTTTACTGTCTTTAGACTTTTTGTTTATTAAATTGCATATTAATAACAAATTAACACAAGACATTTGAGTGAGAATTAGTTTTAGTTTTAATTTTTAATTTGATTTAGATCATATTTTGTATTTTTTATAATGTTCTTAGACTTTTTGTTTATTAATTGTATAGTAATTATAAATTAACACAAGATATCTGCGTGAGAATTCATATTAGTTTTTTTATTTGATTTAGACTTTTTGTTTATTAAATTGTATATTAATTACAAATTAACACAAGACATTTGAGTGAGAATTCATTTTAGTTACATTTTTAAATATTTTGTGCAGTCTTTAGACTCTTAGTTTATTAGATTGCATATTATTACAAATTAACATAAGACATTTGAGAATTAATTTGAGTTTTTATTTTTTATTTCATTTAGAATTTTTTTGTCTTTTTGTTACGTGTTTTATTTTTTAACTTAAACAAATAAAATGGAATTATTGTTGATTAAAATCAAATTAGGAAATGTAAATCTATACCCATTTGTGGTTAAAATGTTCTTTTCTTACAGTACTGCATGTCAGCTTTTAATATTTGAGTCTTACCTCCCAGCTGTTGTCCTGTGTTTGTCTCTTAAGCTTGATATTCCAGTCTTCTGAATTGACATCTGCACAGTGGGCGACTGTCAAGGCAACAGGGCAGGACAGACTCAGGCCAGGAGGACCGTATGTCACCTCTGGACTCAACAGTATCTCCTGAGCTTCATCAGACAAAGCACTGGGCATAAAGAGAGAGAAAAGGTGATTAACTACTAATGTCAATCAATCAATCAATCAATCAATCAATCAATCAATCAATCAATCAATCAATCAATCAATCAATCAATCAATCAATCAATCAATGCATGTAATGCATATTACAGCAGAATATCTGACTTCAACAAAGTTTTTCAGATAAACAAGAATGTTCACTTAGCATGTTTCTTTAATATCTTAAACATATTATGGTATTTTAATGCTTTAGAACAGTCAAAAACTTACAGCACCTTTAAAATAAACCCCACATCAGACCACAACTCATGTGAAGCGCTCATGGGAAATCCTCGCTCGATATGTGCTGTAGTGTCAAAATAACAGTATTGATTTCACCGGAAGATGCCGATGTTGGAAATAAATGGAATTAGTTTGGTTAATAAACACGAAGGCAAGCTACTGCGATAACACCACAAGCAAACATTAGCTCAAAACCACACGCAGTGTTCTTAATGGAAACATGCCAAGAAAGCAGCGCTCGGCTCTCCCCGCTAACACAAACACAACAGATTAGCCTGCAGACTCAGCGCTAATACAGATATATTGTACTTTGGGCTGGTTGAAGTGATTCCAGAGGGCAGTTGGACTTGATCGGGTGTGGATCAACGGAAAGTGTGTGTGCTTGTGTGTGTGAGTTCACTGGTCGATGGTGTTGTTTGAAGTGCTTTCTGAGGAGCCCGGTGACATATTGAGACAGTTTGGACGTGTTAGCGTGGATCGATACGACTGCTGTGGATCCTCAACAAGGATTAGTCATCTACAGCAGGGGAGTTAGGCTGGGCCGAGCGGCGCCATCGAGAACTAACACATTGACACCGCAGATTACATGAACCAGATACCTGCTGTCAACACAACTGTGATGGTTAGCCATTCACTACTCTGCGCACAGAGATCCAAGCTCCATTGTAACACCTATAAGTAATGTTATCACATATAAAACTTTCTGCCATGATGCTAAGGTGTTTTGAATAGCCTTTAGCATGGGCAGGATTTCTAAAGAGCTTTTAGTAAAAGATCTTGGTGTTAATTTTTAAGTTCTCAATTCACTTGGAAAAATATTGGTAAGTTAGAAGTTTTTTTTTTATTTTTATTAGCACTTTTGAGTTGCATTATGGGATACTGGTCGCTAGTCTCTCTAAAATATTTTAAACATATGGATTTTGACAAAAGCTCTATAGCAATGATGCTTCAGATGAACATATGGGCAGAATATCAAGTGTTTACTTTACAACCGGAGCCGTTTCTCATTCTAAGCAGGTGGTGTGCAAAGACAGCCTTCCAATTACAGTGTCTGACACTGTACTGCACCAACAGGTCACTCACTTCACAACCTTCTAATTGCTCTTTCACTTCGTCTGCACTGTTTGTTTACGTTGATTTATTTATATTGAGTAATTACCTGTTCCCTCCCCACATCCTCCATCTATTGGCATTGTTTCCAAACTCTTTTGTGTCTGAAATAAAGGCAATTACTGCTGATAAAGCAGCTAAGCTTGTTTTTGCCATTCTGGAGAGGCGAGGGAGTGTTACCTGACATTTAAAACCATTTAATGAAACTAAACTAACACAATCATGCGCATAAAATGCACATCAAATGGAAAGCTGTGTCTCATATTTGATGGAATATTAGTAACAGCGGTAAACAAATGAAAAACAGTTGAAGGGGCCATCAGTATTGATCAGTGTGGGTTAATCTGATGCCCCTCTTGTGCTTTTTTAATCAAAAGATTTTTTAATTACGGTGGCATAGAAACACGATTATGATCAGAAACATCACTTCCTTACACATGTGGTATTTGAATGTGAAAACAAAACAGCTATGACATAAACATTAAAATAGTCCTAAAGCCATAAACCACAGTTAGATACTATAGAATAGATATTAAATTTCAGGGAAATGCAAATTTAAGGCAATATTTATTTTTTAAATGTATTTTATTTTGATGTATACCAACTATACTGGTATGTAAAAACATAAATCCTAATAAAAAATTACTTTTTTTTTTTTTTAAATAAATACAAAAAAAATTGTAATATAAAAATGTTTAGTAGAAATCATACAATCATATCTCTAAATTATGAAAACTTTAAAAATAAAATAAAATATAGTTTATCTACGTCAATGTTGTTCTTCTTGGATAAAATGAAAATATATTTTTAAAAAATTAAATAAAATTAAATTATTAAATTAGTTTCTCAGTGGTACTAAAATGTAATTTTGGTAGAAATCAGAAATTCATTTCTAAATTTGGTCAATGTGTGCAAGTTTCAGATAAAATAAAATAAAATAAAATAAAATAAAATAAAATAAATGAGAGAAGTTTCCCAGTGGTACTAAAATGCAAGTTATACATTCATGTCTAAATTTGGTCAATCTATACATGCTGCAGATAAAAAAAATAAAAAATTTAAATAAATTAAAATAATTAAAATAAAATAAACTAAAATGAAAATAAAAATAAAAGCAAAAGGAGTTTGCATGTTCTCCCTGCGTTCGTATGGGTTTCCTCCTAGTGCTCCGGTTTCCCCTACAATCCAAAGACATGCGGTACAGGTGAATTGGGTATTCTAAATTGTCCGTAGTGTATGAGTGTGTGTGTGGATGTTTCCCAGAGATAGGTTGTGGCTGGAAGGGCATCCGCTGCGTAAAAACTTGCTGGATAAGTTGGCGGTTGATTCCGCAGTGGCGACCCTGGATTAATAAAGGGACTAAGCCGACAAGAAATTAATAAAAGCGAAACAAAACAAAACAAAAAATTTAAAATAAAACACAAAATAAAAAGTACAATAAAAATTTTAATAAAAATAAATAAAAATAAAATAAAATAAAATACAGTAGTTTCTCAGTGTTACTATGAGGGCAAAATAAATAAATAAATAAATAAATAATATATTTGATCGTAAACAAGTTAAAATGTTCAATTAATCGAGATTTAGCTTTAAGCATGCACGGGTCCAGCCATTCTTCATTTCCTACGTTTCATCAAACGTAAAGAACGCTCTGAGATGCAGCTCTCATAATGAGCAAATACATCACCTATTGATTCCAAAGTTTAATATCCGCCTGGATAACAAAAAAAAAAAGGAAAACAACCCTGCTTTCATTAACACAGTGTGAATCATTTCCTAGTAATACAAATGGTCGCTGCCATGTCCAGGTGAATCCACGAGGGAAGAGTACAGGACGGCTTTAAGCTCTGCAAACAGCCCAGAGGTCTGAGCAAACTCAATCCTATCACTGCGAACAAATAAAAAGAGTCTCTGATTGATCCTTTTTCATGACTTTGCTCTCTATAGCCGCCGTTATGAGGACTCTGGAGATCACACAGCTAAATTTAGGAGGCTCTGCAGATTGATTTCTACTTCTCTCTTCTTCTATACCACCATCTGTAGATGCTTTGTGGTCAGATTGCAGCGTTGCGGATTGAATTTCTCCACCGCCACTCACCAGGACTGTCAAAAAGATAGGCTTTGACTGACAGCAGGGCTGAGCATTGAGCACTTGACTGACAGATAGCTGTGTGATGGTGGTGTTGGCGGGCCGAATGGGAGGTGGGGAAGCAAACAGCTCTGCGCTTATCGGACGCCGGCAGGTTCCTTCATCTGTGCTCTCGCCGAGATTGAGGTTTTTTCATCTTTGAGCAACTGAAGAGCCTCTGAACACTCGTGACCTTTGATCTCTATCAATCCCTAAGAGCCTGCATGTGATTGAGGCTGTCTGATTCTAGGTGACATTCGTCGTTTGACAACTTTAGTCTTAATTCCCAGCTCGCCAAAGTTTGCTCATCATTTTACGGAGGGTTAATGCCAGAGTTAAGCTGCTCGCCAGAACAAAGCAAGCGGCATTCTGGAAGATTTTGGTTCCTGAAACACCAAGCTGCATCGCGATTTACTGCACTACATATGTTTACTGCTCACTACACACTCGGTGGGGAATACAGAGTTGAAGGCAAAGTTATTAGCCCTCCTGTGAAGTTTTTATTCTTTTTCAAATACTTCCCAAGTAGTGTTTAACGGAAGCCTTTTTTGTTTACTTTTTTTTTTCAATTGGCTACAGAACAAATCACTGTTTTCCAATGGCTTGCCTAATTCAACTAACTTGCCTAGATAACCTAATTAACCCAGTTAAGCCTTTAAATTGCACTTTAACCCTCTGAGGTCACCAGGTCACGCCACAATGACCAGCATTTTTTTTTAAAGGACTCTTTTTTAACGGTCTAGGCAGATAGTCTAAATCACAAGGTGCAAAAGCATTAAGGGCTTCTCCAAATCCACTTTTGCTACTTTAAGGATGGAAGAATATGGTTTGCACTGCAGCACATGGTCTAACAGGATTGTGCTTATTCTTTTAATGAATTACAGTATGGATATGTTTTGAGAATAACATCCATTAAACCGATCAGAGTCTCATCTCCCATTCCCTTTAAGAGTCAGTTGTGTCGAGCCATGGTGCATTTGCTATTCACATGGTGGAATTTGTAAATGGAAAAACTGAACACTTTACTAGTGAGAAAACAGTTAAACAGACCATCTGCAGAGTGAGGAAAAAGAATGAGCTACCTCCATTCGGCCTCTTAACTTTCTCTTTACTTTTACTCTTCACTTTACTCCTTTACTTTCATGGATAAGGAAAGGTGTTGTACACACTCCACTGAAGACATCCATTAGCCTATATATATAATTTTGTTTGTTAAGCGCAAAGATTTGTTTCAAAACTATTTCTAAATTTAGTTTTAATTTTCAGCAAACAAATAAAAGAACAATAATAAAGAAGTGTGGTCAAAAAACCAAACACACATCATATTCTTATTCCCCATTTGGTCCAAAACCCGACAGGTGGACAAATCTAAACTTGTTTTTATTAAAACAAATATAAATATGCATATAATAAATAACACTACTGCTAACAATAACATTATACAAAAGCAAATTCACATGAATAAATTGAAAAAAGCCCCCTGACAT